TGCAGGCTCAGTAGTTGTGGCTCACGGGCTCTAGAGTGCAGGCTCAGTAGTTGTGGCTCACGGGCTTAGTTGCTCCGTGGCACGTGGGATCTTCCCAGGCCAGGGATGGAACCCGTGTCCCCTGCATTGGCAGGCGGATTCTTAACCACTGCGCCACCAGGGAAGCCCCTGTCTTCACATTTTAATATCTCTAAAATCAAGACGGTGTGTTGATTTAACCGGCATTTTCTTTCCTTCTTCGTGGTGCATAGAAAAAGGTACATCTTAGAATTCAATAGCTATGGGGTCAGTTAAGATAAACTTTGTTTCACTAATAACCACCATTCATTGAGTGCCACCTGCTGTGGCAGAACCTGCCCCATGTATTTCAAATCCTCACATCAGCCTCGCGGAATTGGTGGTCTTATTATTGTTCCCACCTGTCCCATGAGGCGGCTACAGTTCCCAGAGGTTAAAGGGCGTGTTTGAGGTTACGGCCTCCCCATAGCTGAACCAGCATTTAGTGGCAGACTTGGCTTTCCGCACACACATATGTGCTGCTGCCCCAGGTTTACCCCCAAAAGCCAAGCGGCTGATTCCTGGATAGAAGCAGGTGTATTGCCATCTTAGCGAGTCAGAGAGGTTGTCCCCAGGCAGAGAAAATGTCATCTCCAGTTGCGAGCCAGCCTACAGCTGGAGGGCGGTGACCAATAGTGAAGCAGCTGGCACTGTCTGGGACCAGCCTGCTCCCTGCGGAGCCTAACACAGGAACCACGGCGCCAGAGACGCCCCTGCACCAAGGGTCAGGCAGTCAGCTCCTGGAAACCAGGGTGCTGGTCCTCGGGGCTGCCTGGGGCTTGGCTCCCCTAGCTTCTGGGCCTCCAGGCTCAAGAAGCCTCCCTGAAGCTCCACTAGCACCACAGAGGAGCAACGGAGGACACACCCTTTCCCAGTGTGGTTTCTTGACATAAATTTTAAAAGGAAAGAGAGAAACTGGGTTAATGAACTTTTTTCATTTTTCATAAGTAAAAGAAGAACCTTTGAAAAGGGCTTGTATTGCAATGAAAAGCCAACTTTAAAAGTGGATCAGATACCGGCTTAGACTTCTGACCTATATTCATTTTTTACGTTTGAATAAATATAATTGGGAAATACCCTTATTATAGGGTATTGAGCAAGTAGAAATCTTTGTGGAAAGGAGTCTTTTAAGTATGCTTACTTAAAGTACACTCAGGAGGGGACTTCCCTGGCAGTCCAGTGGTTAAGAATCTGCCTTCCAATGCAGGGGACACGGGTTCGATCCCTGGTAGGGGAACTAAGATCCCACATGCTGCGGGGCAACTAAGCCCATGCTCTAGAGCCCGCGCAGCGCAACTGCTGAGCCTGTGCACCACAACTAGAGAGAAGCCCGTGCGCTGCAACCAAGAGCCTGTGCACCGCAATTAAGACCCCACGCAGCCAAATAAATAAATAAATATTTTTTAAAAATACACTCAGGGGACTTCCCAGGTGGCAGAGTGGTTAAGAATCCGCCTGCCGGGCTTCCCTGGTGGCGCAGTGCTTGAGAGTCCGCCTGCCGATGCAGGAGACGCGGGTTCGTGCCCCGTTTTGGGAGGATCCCACATGCCGCGGAGCGGCTGGGCCCGTGAGCCATGGCCGCTGGGCCTGCGCGTCCGGAGCCTGTGCTCCGCAAATGGGAGAGGCCACGACAGTGAGAGGCCCGCATAACGCAAGAAAAAAAAAAAAGAATCCGCCTGCCAATGCAGGGGACACGGGTTCTATCCCTGGTCCGGGAAGATCCCACATGCCGCAGAGCAACTAAGCCCGTGCGCCACAACTACTGAGCTGCACTCTAGAGCCCGTGAGCCACAACTACTGAGCCTGCGTGCTGCAACTACTGAAGCCCACGTGCCTAGAGCCCGTGCTCCGCAACAAGAGAAGCCACCGCAGTGAGAAGCCCGCGCACTGCAACGAAAAGTAGCCCCCTCTCGCTGCAACTAGAGAAAAGCCTGCGCACAGCAATGAAGACCCAACACGGCCAAAAAAAAAAAAAAAAAAATACAATCAGTAAACATTTTTTAATAATTAGTAAGTGTGCATTATATGTCTCTGCTTCTTCGTGACATGTCTGTTTGGTAGAGGTTATCAAATCCAGCCTGAAAGAACAGTACTCTTTTGATACAGAAATGCTTACCTTTACCTGGGTGTAACTGAAGTAATTCGTCCAACTCATAGCCAGAAATCAGTCTCAGTTTCTCCTTGGTGGCTTTACGTTTCGGCTCTGAATTATCGGAGTCTTTGAGGACCCCCCACCCCCACCCCAAGTGGTTGGGATTGGCTGCATCTCTGCAGGCAGTGGTGTGTCTCACTGCCTGCCAAGGGGCCTCCAAGTGGTCAAGCTCCAGAAAGTAGGAAACCAGTGACAGCTGTCTCTGCACACCAAGCTGGTGCTTTGGGAGGGTCCCTGTGAATGGCCCCTGGAAGCTTTGTGACAGCGCTTCTGTGACAGTTGGGTAAAGGGTGAACACAAAAGAGCAGAAGCTTTGAACAGGTTAGAACAAACACCCTCACCTCCTGGAGTCGAACTGTAGTTCTTCTTGACGGAGCCCCAGCCGGCACGCCTCCTGAGGAAACGCGGCCTTTTACGTTGACCCCCTTTGAACTGGCCCTCCTACCCCATGCAGCATCTCAGTGCAGAAGATAAAATGCTGACACGGCTTCTCTTGGAAGTGATGCTGCTATGAATAACCTCCCTTTTTCTAGTGCACAGAAAATACACAGTGAGGAGGGTTGGACCTCAGAACTTAGGGCTCTGCTAAACCTCTATACCAAAGGGTATACTTCTTTCAGACAATTCTAAGGAAAGGTCAAGAAATCCATATTTCTCTCAATTAACTTTGCGTATTATGTTACAGTAGAATAGGCTTGGTTTAAACTGTAGAGAAAAAAAAGCATTAAAATTTCTAAGTTTAAAGTAAGGGAACCCAACCATAAGAACTGGTTCAAGTGAAGGGTTTTATGTTTTCGTTTTGTTTTTGTTTTTAGAATAAGCTCCTGATACCTTTAAGCACAGCCCCAAGCCAGGCATCTGCATTACAGCAGGCTGGCTAGGTTGAAGGCCATTTCCAGGGATGCTGGATGCTGGGGCCAGGCCCAGGGAGTGAGGGTGTGCAGTTTCTCCAGAATCACTCAGATGTCCAGTGGGCAGCTTTCCGTGAACACAAGCATAGATACGCTTTCTTTCTTTTTAAAGACCCTTAATTCTTTGGATTCTTGCACGGCTGCCAGATTGTCATTCTTGGGCTTTGCATGTTGTTTTCCTCATTTATTTGTGAAAACAAGCATGGTGCATGGCAGACCCCTTCTGAGTATGCGGGTGCCCTGAACAGACGGCCCAGCGGCTGCACTTTGATGGCCGCTGACCGAGCCGACAGGCGGAAGCTCGCTCCTCTTGTTCTGCTCATATGTTTTTACGGGGGTTTTGTCTGCTGCCTTTATTAATATTGTTTTTCTTTTTTCCCTTTCTCTGATAAATTCCTTTAACTTGTCCTCACCTTCCGTTCGACAATAGCCGTGGAGGGTAAGCACATGGTATCTGTGTGTCTGTCCAGCTCTCTATCACACCCCGCTCTGCATGCGACTCTGGACCAGGAATCGGGAAGCCTGGGGAGGGCGCTTTTGCTTGGTTTGTCACCAAAAGCAGCATTTATATTTGCCCAAGAGTGAGACGTGAGCATCTGTGCAGTGATGGGACTTTCTCGTCCCTTGTGTCTCATGGCTTAGGGATGGGCACCCAGAGTTAGAGACTGAGCACTGGCAGCAGATTCACGAATGAACAGCTATTGGGTGCCGGCATTCAGTCTTCTCAGAGTGGCCATACGCAGTCCTTTTTGTGCCTGGGGTGGCCAGTTCGACTTTTTAAATACGCTGAAGGTTCCCTAGAGGCCCTTGTGCAGCCTTCAGGGCTCCGGTTGTCTTGGATAACATTTGTTGAAGTCTTTCTGTGCCCGGGCCCTGAGATGGGCCGTTTTACATATGTTCCTTCATTTCACCCCCATCACAGCTGCAGGTGAGGGGGCAGTGCCCGCCCCCGACCAACAGAGCTGCACCCGCACAGCTCCCACCTCAGCAGCGTTCTGGAAGCAGGTGGTGTCCATGTAAAGAAAACTTGCGTTTGCCCACTGTTTATAACCATAGAAGGAATACACGTTTCCATTAGGTGGTCTGAAGGCAACTAAGCTGAGCCATACAGGTTTTACTGCAAAATTCAAACTAAGTGGAAATTCATATAGTCTCAATGTAGAACCCTTGACCGGTTAGCCAACTGTCTCTAAATCCTCAGAGAGGTGTAAAATATCTGGATTCTTTCTCTTTTGGTGAATGATTCTGGGGGGACGATGAATCACTTCTCTGAATGAATCCGGGGCTTTTAGTATAATGTGTGTGATTCCATCTCATTTCCTTTAACTGAGCTCAAAGTTAGAAAAAAAGGTGCCTTATTTATTTGTCACTTGGATGAATTGCTTTGCTGTCATCCTCAAGCTGAACTGTGTCCCCTAAGACAAGAAGATCAGTTATGCGATCTGCTTTGATCTCTTTTAAAGACCCTTTCTAACCTAGTTGCAGTGATATGACGCCATCTGCTGGAGGATAGAAAGATAACCGGCTTCTGTGTTGGCAGCTTCAGCCCCAGGAAATCAGCCCCCCTCCCACTGCCAACCTGGACCGGTCCAATGACAGGGTGTACGAGAACGTGACGGGCCTGGTGAGAGCGGTCATCGAGATGTCCAGCAAGATCCAGCCAGCCCCGCCAGAGGAGTATGTCCCCATGGTGAAGGTGAGCTCAGCCCCGTCACGTGAAGCAGGAGACATTCCCTGTGCCCTTCGGGTCCAGCCTGACTCTTCAGAAGGTCTGCATCACATGGGGATCACTGCCATTCCCGACCTTGACCCTGGAATGTCCTGAGCAACAGAGTCTGTCAATAACTACTGCTCATACGTATGATCTTGAGTGAGAAAAGATGCAGAAGAGTACTTACAGTCTGATGCCGTTATGACTTAGGGGAGGTAATTACAGTGTTAAAGTGCCAAGACAGATGATACTTGGAGACCCTGCTTTCAGTCTTTTGGGCGTTTACTCAGAAGTGGAATTGCTGGATCGTATGCTAGTTTTATTCCTAATTTTTTGAGGACACACCATGCTGTTTTCCACAATGGCTGCACCAATTTACATTCCCATCAGCAATGCACAAGGGTTCTATCTAGTTTTTCTCCATCCTCACTAACACTTTTTATTTTCTGTTTTGTTTTTCCTTGATAGTAGCCATCCTTATATGTGTGAGGTGGTATCTCACTGGGCTTTCGATTTGCATTTCCCTGATGAGTAGTGAGGTTGAGCATCTCTTCGTGTGCTTTTTTGTGTTGGCCATTTGTGTGTCGTCTTTGGAGAAATGTCTGTTCAAGTCGTTTTCCCACTTTTTAATAGGGTTGTTTGGCTTTTTGTCGTTGAGTTGCAGGATTGAACACCGTTTTTAGTGTACCAATGAGCAGTCTCTGGAACAGCTTCTCTTAAACCATCAGTGTGGAGCAGCTGCTTGGAAGCTGTGATGTTTTGTGGGCAGCACAGTTAATCCATTCTGGTTTCGTCTTTAGGCTATGCTCCCATAACACTTATAACCAAAGTTCTTAAGGGTGAACTTGCATGAACCGCAGACGGGTTTTTAAAAAATACTAATAAACTCAACAATATACAAAAGCAACCAGAATTTTGTACATAATAAGACTTTTTATGGTGATTTTGTAGAAGCTGCTTTTTTAATCATGTTACTTTGGCGAAACGACACTCTTTTTGTTGATCCAGTGTCAATAACTAGCATGTCCTTACTGGTCTTGTACCTACTGCATGTATAACTTAGCACCTGAGTCATTACATAGTTGACCCTCATGAGAATGACAACGACAGACATTTTAACTCTAACGTCATATCGTTTTTAATCACAGCTGGTCCCTTTAAGCTCCGAGTGGCAGGGGGAGGGCTGTTGTGCTCCGTGTACGTAGTGGACGAAGCTCGGGGATCAGAATGGCCTCCATAGCAGACTGCCACCTGTCGTTCCCACGTGTGGCAGCAGTAACATCCTTTTCGGTGGCCCACGAGGCTTTGAAAAGCACTGGGGAGGGAAGAGAGTCACGGAGCACACGCAGCCCCAGCGCCGCCTTCCCTGGGCATCCAGGCGGCTTTTCTTACACGAGCCTCCATTCCCCTGTTCCCCAGACAGTAGAGCATGAGTAGATTCAGAGAGATCTGAATCTGGGGGAAATTGCCTCATAACTTAATGAGATCAGGCTCAGCACTGTGGAAAAGAAATACAGACATTTTCCCACAAGTGGTGAAAAGGAAATGAAAAACCGTGTAACTGGAAGGAAACACTGTCATTGCTGGCATGAAACTCCTTGATGTGCGTCCTAATGCTGGGTGTGGTCCTGTCTGTTAGGAAGTCGGCTTGGCCCTGAGGACGCTGTTGGCCACCGTGGATGAGACCATTCCCGTCCTGCCCGCCAGCACCCACCGAGAGGTAGGGCCTCATCCAGAGGGCAGCGTGGCAGGGGGAGCACAGCGCACGCTCTGCAGGCCTGACCTCCTGGCCGGGCCCCGGGTTGGGACTCCGGCGACTGGCCGTCCATCTTCAGAGCTGTGTGGAGCCACCGCACCGCGTGTGGGGTCCCGGCCTGAAGGATGGGGCGTCCGTGAGGACAGGTGGGGAGCGCAGGATTGGGGCTGCTGCTGCCCTGGAACCCTCGAGAGCGAGGACGGAGGCTGTGGAAACGGACCGCGAGAGGCATCCTGCCCTCCTTCCTCGAATTCCTCTGGAAAAATTCGACCACTTAAAGCAGCGATATAAACATTCCTTGTAACCAGTAAATAGGCTTAGCGTTGGGGTCTGCACCCAGCCCAGCTCACTTCCCGTGCCTCGCCCTTCCAGCTCCAGTGTCCACTTTCCTGCTTTCTCTCTCAGGGTGCGTGATCTGTCCTTCCCCCAGCAGGCACTCTGTTTGTTTTTGTTTTCTTAGTTTTTACTGTGAAATGATTTCAAACTTGCGGAAGAGCTCTGAGAGCAGCACCAAGAACTTGCAAGCACCCTTGCCCTGATCGCGCCGCCTTCCCTGTCTGAGCCCTTTGCGTCCTCTCTCTGCACGCGCAGGCTTTACTTCTCCAGAGCCACCTGGGGGCCGGTTGTGCGCATCTCACCCTCTTACCTTTAGTATTTGCGTTTGTGTTTTCTAATAACGGGCCATACTCTTACCCTGCACGGTCACCGCATCCTGGAATTTAACACTGGCCAGTGTGCTCATCTCTCAGCAGGTGGTGGTCTGGGTTCACCAGTCACCCCAGTAATGCTTCTCCCTCTGGCTGGAGACAGCCTGGGGCTCACGTGGCCCCTGACACCGCTCTGTGTGCCTCTCTCCTGGGACAGCTCCTCAGCCCCGCGCTGTCTCCTGCGACAGAGTGTAGGCCCCCTGTGTTCCAGAGCCTCCCTGACCTGGAGCTGAGGGGTGTTCTCTAAAGGCTGATGTTTCCTCCTGGTCAGGCTGAGGTTTTACATCTGCGGTGAGGCTGCGTCCTCCTCGGAGGTCGAGTCCAAGGGCAACACGTCCAGCAGGGTGTCTGGACACGCGGGGCAGTCGGGCTCAGCTCCTGCAGCTGGTCCTGTAAGTGGCACCAGTTCACCTGCATGGCACCACTTAAATCCTTTTGGAAAATGCCTCTGACTGGTGTCACCGTGTAACTTAATATTTCTCTCCAGTTCAGAGGTTAGCTAGTTTATCTGCTTTATTAGAAATTTAATTGGTTTTCCACAATGAGCAAGGATTTTGCCCCCAAATGGAGACGCTCCAGGTGCCAGAGGCAAGCAGGTGGTATCCTAATGGATGGATATTTCGGCAGGACCGTTTCTAACTTCCTACTCGAGCTGATAACGGCTGAAACGATCTCTCTGTGTACCTGGCTCTTCTGCACACCGTGTGCGCCTTCCTGTGCCCCTGCTCCCCTCCCGCCCTCTGGACCCAGCTGTCCCTGACCTCTCTACTGCACCCGCCCAGCGGTCACCGGAGGCCATGCCCCCACAGCCCTGACCCCTTGGCGAGACCCCTGGAGTTTCCGAGCCTTGCCGGCCCCACCCCCAGCCTTTCTTTGCTGCCCCGATGGTGGCCGCCCCCAAGGTGCTCCCCGGACTTGCGTTTTACAGATGTCTTTTCTCCTTGGCAGGGCTCCCTACGCTCACAGACCCAGATGTTTGAGGCCCTCACCCTCTGTGCTGTGAGCGGGCCCACTCCATGTGCCCCGGGCACTAGCTGTCTGCGGGACGTCTGCCCCTGTAGCACATTCTGCTTGCAGGGTCAGTGGGACCAGCATGTGCTCACCACCGTGCCCAGCACGAACCACACGCGCATGCACACACACGTACACACGTGCAGACAGCCTGTGTCACTCACAAGTCTCAGGTCGGGCCTTGCTTCTCCGTCCACGTCCCCTCTTCCCCGAGGTATCACAGCAGCCTCTCAGCTGCTTACTCCACCTCTGGGCTCTCCCTGCCCTTCCGTTTACATTGCACACTGCCACCAGAGCCCTCTCTAGATTATGTTATTCCCCTTCCTAAAATTCCTTAGGCCTCCCCGTTGCTAAGTTGAACAGGACCAGGGTGAACGTGGGTGGCTGACGAGGCCCTTCACAGTGGAGGCCAGCCAGCTCGTGCAGTCTCGGCCGGATGCAGGCGAGTTCTCCTCTGTGGAGTCTCTCTACCCCTCTCAGAAGGAGTGAACTGCTCCTGTCCGGGTCCATTTCTGTGGCGTGATTTTCCCGTGTGTGATGGGCAGCTCACTGGGCTGTGAGCACAGACACATTGGATCACTCTTGTGTCCACAACTCCAAGGGCCTTGTGCACAGTAAGTGCTCGCTGATTGTCGAAAGAGCACGTGGCTAGATCGCCGCTAGTTAAGTACACAGGTTGGGGGGGATCGCGAGACACCCCAAGCAAAGCTCTCCAGCCCTGTGGCTCCTTCCACCAGCCCTGCCCCCACCTCCCACCTCTGATCTGTTTGGAAGGGTCTAGAGTTTACATCAGAGTGGAGCAAGTGTCTGGTGACACCCTTGAACAATCTCCTGCATAGCAGAGGAAGGTCTTGAAGCAGGTGCAGTAGAAAGCGTGTGGGCCTGGAGGTGGAGACCAGGGTCTGCCTTGTTTAAGGGGAAGGAAGAAAGTTTCTTCTCCTGGAGGCACCTAAGAAAAGCATCTAAGAATGCCCTGAGTGTTGGCTGCAGGAGGCGCTCCTGACCCTCTTGTCCTTGCAGATTGAGATGGCCCAGAAGCTGCTGAACTCCGACCTGGGGGAGCTCATCAACAAGATGAAGCTGGCCCAGCAGTATGTCATGACCAGCCTGCAGCAGGAGTACAAGAAGCAGATGCTGACGGCTGCGCACGCCCTGGCCGTGGACGCCAAGAACCTGCTCGATGTCATAGACCAGGCCAGACTGAAGGCCCTGGGGCAGACGAGGCCACACTGAGTGCCGGGGCCTGCTCCCCCCTCCGCCGCCACCAGCAGCAAGGCTCTGGCCGGCCGTGGGCGCCAGCACTCACAGCGCCAACACTCTGGCCGAGGCTGGTTGAAAATTTCATATAAGTTTAACCGCATTTTGATGTGGGTTGTTTTGGTTTTGGTTCTTTAATCATGGTGTTCAGAAAAGTCCGGGATCCAAAATGTGGCATTTTTCTGAGAATAAAAATTGTACATGAGAAGCTTTTAAAGAATCATGAAGAACAGATTTTGTTCACATCAGGATATGCTTTCGTGGAAGCGGCCAAGGCAGTGATGCACTGGTTCCTGAACTGGCCGGACTGGTCCTTGGAAGAAGACAGGAGGAAGTGGAGGATTCCAGGAAACCCAAGGGGCTGAGAATCCCTTTGCCAACCGCAGACTTACTACCCAGGCTGGAATTTTTGTCGTTAGAACACTGTTCAGTTGCAATATGCTAATACCACTTTACAAAGAAAGAATATAAAAGCTATATTTTGAAGACTTGAGTAATTTCAGAAAGAAACTACAACCCTCTTGTCTTTCCTGCCTTTCACTTTCATGTGAGTATGTGAAGCATTTGGTTGGAAACTAGCTGTAGAACACACTAAGAACTTTTGTCTTTTTTCACCAGAATAATGTGCCAGTTTTTTGTAGCAATGTTATTTCTCTTGGAAGCAGAAATGCTTTGTACCAGAGCCCCTCCACACTGCATTGAGAAGTTCTGGATCCATCCCTGGTTTTTCCATTTTTATATAATTTATAAAGAAAGATGAAAAGCCATGTTGACTGTTTTACAGCCACTGGAGTTAACTAACCCTTCATTGTGTCTGTCTTCCCAGAAAGAATTGGGCAAAAGAGAGATTTGGTTTCCTTTTGATGTCCAGTTTTACCATCCATTCTGTTAAACAATTTTGAAAAATATGCCCTCTCTTTAGTTTGTTGGGGGATATAAATTATTCTCAGGAAGAATATAATGAACTGTACAGTTACTTTGACCTATTAAAAAGGTGTTACCAGTAAAGTGCTTGGTGTAATATCCTTTCTGTTGGTTCTGTTCCTTCAGATCATTGGAAATTTCTCAGGTGACTTGTCAGATAAAGTAACATACAGGAAAGCTCTCGATAACGATTAGTTTCTTTTATTCTTTGTCTTGTCGACAAGTCGAGAACGCTCCTCATAAGTTAACCTTTTTGTTCCGTCTTCACGGGTAAATGCAGAAACCGAGCTATAGGGTGATGTCGTCCCTGAAGGACTTCCCTCCACAGGCTTGGTGTCACCGCCACCTGTCCAGCCTTGGGGAACCTGTTCTCTTAAGGGAACTGTCAGCAGGACAGACCCCAGACCCACCCTCATCTCGCTAGGCCTCTGGTGTGCAGCACTGGGAACCTGGACGGAGAAGAGCCGGGGCGCAGCCCGCAGTGGAGGGACTCGAGCACGTCCTGCAGGAAGACGCACGTCCCCGTGTGCAACAGAGTCACTCCCGTCTGGCCTGCCTGGCGCCCTCTTCGTCTGAGGAGAAGCTCGGGGACGTCGGCCTTCTGGGTTTCTCTCGGGCTCTCCAGTCTCCGCTTCATCGTCTTTAGGATGGTGATCGTGAGGTTACATAAAACGGGCCGTGTGAATGATGAAGCACTTCACACGCTCCCAGGGGCTCGACTGCGGGGCTGTGGGCCACGGCCGCAGCGCATGTCCTCTGCCTCCTGCTCTGACTTTCCCTCCAGTACCAAGAACTGCAGGTAAGTCTGGAAACGTCCTGTAGGTCAGAGGGAGAGGCATTTTGGTTGTGAGAACGGGTGGAGACAGATAGCAGATGCTGTTGGCTGGTGGGCTTGGTGGCCCCGGGGCCGTCAGAGGGGCCATCCCGTGGCTCCGCCACATCGTTCTGCAGACGACAGCTGCCCACTGAGGCATTCGACCCGGTCCACGTTGTCCAGGAGAAGCGGTGAAAAAGGTGGACGCGAGCCTGCTCACAGCCCCGCCCCCCGTCTTTCTCCAGCTCCATATATTTTAACATTATTTTAATTAAAGAGTAATTTAAATAGAGAAAAGGGCACATAAATGTTGAGCTTTTCGAATTTTTCACAAAGGAGCACACTCAGGTCACCGGCACCCAGACTCAGGCACAGGACAGCACCAGCACCCCAAAAGTCTGCCTGGGGTCCCTCCTAGCCACTCCTTCCCCAGAAGGGTTACAGCCACCCTGCTTGCCTTTGATCAACTTTATTGAGATGTAATTCACACAGAGTAAGAACCGGCTGAGTGAACAGCTGGATGACTTTCTCCGGACGCGTGCATCCAGTTCCCCATCAGTCCCCACACCCACCGAGGCAGCCGCTGGCCTGGTCTCTTGCACCGTAGATCTGGTCTCACATGCCAGGTTGCTTCTGGGACTACTGTATGCACTCTGCTGTTTCTGGCTTCTTTGACTCGGTGACGTTTTGGAATATCCGTCATCAGGATTTGTTGTTCTTTATTTCTGATGATACTCCGTGGTCTCACAGCCAGTTCACCTGTCACCTGTTAGTGGATGGGACATTTGAGCTGTTTTCAATCTGGCTATTATGAATGAAGCCGCAGTGGACACTTGTGTACAAGTACACGTGTTTCTGTTTCTCGTGGGCGAGCAACTATGAGCAAACCTCCTGGAACTTAACGGTAAGTGTTCAACTTTATTAAGAACTGCCCAACTGTTTTCCGATGTAGTTGTACCATTTTACCCTCCAGCAAAACAGCACATAAACCTTCCTGCTGCTCCACATTCTCACCAGTATTTGGCATTGTCAGTCTTTTATAATTTTAGACTTTCTAGTGAATATGTGTTCCATCTCATTTTAATTGTGTTTCTTAATGTACAGTGATATTGAGCATCTTTTCCTATACTTACTGACCATTTATATATCTTTCCCGGGAAGTCTCTGCTCACATATTTTGCCCAGTTTAAAATTGGGCTCTTTGGGAATTCCCTGGCGGTCCAATGGTTAAGACTCGGCGCTTCCATTGCCCAGGGCACAGGTTCGATCCCTGGTCAGGGAACTAACATCCCTCAAGCCATGTGGCATGGCCAAAATAAATTAATTAGTTAATTAATTAAATTAAATTAAATTGGGCTGTTTATCACTCTGTTGGGTAGATAGTAATTCCTACCCACTGGGTGGTAGGAATTCCCTCTGTGTCCCAGATACTAGTCTTTGTCAGATACTTGTTTCCCACACATTTTCTCCCAGTCTGGGGCATGGCTGTTCATTTTCTTAACTGCACCTCAGTGTAATTTTATCTGAAAAATTGGTGGAGGGATTGTTGTGATTGGAACTTCATTGGCTTTATAGGTCAGTTTGGGGAGAACAAATATCTTCAGAATGTTGAGTCTTAAAAATATGAACTTAATATATCTCTATTTCTTTATATCTTTAATTTTAGTAATGCCGTGCTGTTTTCAGTGTAAATAAAGATCTTAAACATCTTTTGTTAGCTGTATTCCTGTTCTGTGTTTCTGATGCTATTATGTTTTAAATTTTTCTTTTTTTAATTTTATTTATTTATTTTTTGCTTAACCTAGGTGTGACATATACTGTTTTCTATTCTATTTTTTTAATTGAATTATAGTTGATTTACATTGTCTCAGGGGTACAGCAAAGTGGTTCAGTTACATATATGTAAATATATATATTCTTTTTTTTACATTCTCTTCCATTGTAGGTTATTACAAGATAACGAGTACAGTTCCGTGTGCTCCACAGTAGGTCCTTGCTGTTTATCTATTTTATATATAGCAGTGTGTGTATCTGTTCATCCCAATGTCCTGATTTATCCCTCCCCCCACACACTTTCCCCTTTGGTAACCGTAAATTTGTTTTCTAAGTCTTCATTTTTTTGGCTTCCACATGTAAGTGATATCATGTGATACTTGTCTTTATCTGACTTACTTCACTTAGTATGATAACCTCTAGGTCCATTCATTGCTGCAGATGAAATTGTTCAATTGTTGGTGGCTCAGTACATAGAAATGTAGTCATTTACACTGTGTCCTTGGTGGGTCCAGCCCTTTTCTGTCTCTGTTCACCTGCCCCAGCCTGGAGTGATGCACCCCAAACTCCGGCCCCACCCAGCCCCTCGTGCTGTCTCTTCATGCAGCAGAGGGCAGGACACAGCAGCCAAAACCAAGGGCAGGTGCCGGACACTGTCAGCCACCCTCATGGCAGCTGGGCTCAGTCTCTCTATGTGGGGCTCCCCTTGCTGGGTGGGGCTGACTGCCGTGCTCTTAGCCCCGGTCTGACCAGGTTTGTGTAGCACCAATGAGGGCTGCACATCTTTTAAAACTTTTAAATCACACTTGACTTTAGTTTGTTATCTTGATGAATTTGACAACAATAACAGACAGTCTTTCTAGTTATTTCCCCCTCTGGGGGAAGAATGTGCTTTAAATTTACCCAAACGTTTTTAGGCATTGACTTCTTTTTTAAAAATTCGTCTTTTTTTATTGCACAAGTGTACAAGTGGTGCACGTACACTGAAGAACATTAGAAAATACAGCCAAGTCAAAAAAATTTTTAATTGCCCCAAGATTAGGAACAAGACAAAGATGCCAGTTTCACCACTTAACATTCAAAGTAGACTGGAAGTTCCTGCCAGAGCAGTTAGGCCTCCACATTGGAAAGAGAGAAGTAAAGCTACGTCTGTTCACTGGTGATGTGATCTTATACCTGGAAAATCCTAAAAAACCCAGAAAAACTGTTCAAGATAATTAACAAATTCAGCAAGTGAATAAACAGAATGTGGTGTGTCCACACCGTGGAATATTATTCAGCCATAAAAAGAAATGAAATACCGACAGACACTGCAACATGGATGGACCTTGAAAACATTAGGTTGTGAAACAAGCCAGACACAAAAGGCCACAGACTGTGTGATTCCATGTGGTTTTGTGATTTATAATAAGAAACAGAAATTTGGTGTACCTCCCATTCCTGGTACAGAGCTCTCAAAAACCTT